ACCTATGGGGTAGGGATCATCTTTTTGGTGCGTGTGTGTGCGTATGTGCAGGACAACAGGCTCTGATCCTTGATTTAGACCTCTAGGTAATATTCTTATCAACCACCACATACTTAAAATTTAGTTGTTGTAATGACCTAATCAATCTCATTTTATGGAACTTGATGATTAATGTATATTATTAAGAACAAATGTTCAAGATCTCAGGCTGCTCAAACACAATTGAAAAGTGTTCAACGACATTCTGCATATCTGGTTCTTCAGCTGTAAGTACTGTAACTTTCTGTTGCAAGCTAGCAAATTCCTCCAAGTGTTAAGAGGTGGTCAAGCAAGTCAGTGAAACCCTTGTAACATGTAACAATTTAGAAAGAGAACAAACCACTGGGTATGACCACTGGGTATGACCTCTAGTGGCTAAGTATTGTTATACATAATTAACAACCCAAAAGATAAGGGAAAGAATGGACTTGGTGTTAAGGCATTGGATTGGGAATTTGAATCTTATTCCTGGTTTATAGTCTTCCAGTATGAATTAGGCAATCATTTATGGCAGATTTTCCAAGAAGAGCATCCCTGTGCTGAGCATTTTTGAAAGGCTGGCGCTTAAACCTTTCCTGTAAATGAAAATCATATTTACTATCTCCAAGTCTGTACTTGTACATCTTCCTCTATTTATAATTGTTACAATCTTATTCAAAATGATGCTGCTCTTTCCATTTTTTCAGACATTCTTAGTCTTTTAAGAAGATTTGTTAAAAACAACTTTGTTCTTTCCTTCAGGATGTACACTCTTTATATCATTCCACTGGCAACTAACAAAGAACCTACTGCAGGGGTACCCATCCTTCACCAACTCTGGCTTGGCTCTTACTACTGGTATGGAGTCTGTCATCACATTAAGAAAGCTGAAAGCAACAATGAGTAGTACAGCTGCTAGCATTCAGATTCCTATCTGTCAGACTCATCTTCTGACAAATAATTCTGACATTTTTTATCTTCGCTCTTCACATGGCTTTGTTGAGGCGGATGGCAAGTCCCCTCCCAAACTCTGACAGACTTCTCAGCTACTTTACATAATTCCTCCAAGTCACAGGCGCTCTGAATTATAAAGCCATTGGCCCACCAAGCCTGTCCTCTGAGTTTATCTCAACTCTACCCCCTGTTTTGTCACTGTATCCTTCAATCCACTCTCTCCCCATAAAAGTGTCTAGCTGTCTCTTAAACTCACTTTACCATTTGCTGCTTTGACCTCACTTGGCAACTTATCCTTGTGTTTATTATTCAAGGTAGAACAGTTCTGGCTGCATTCCTGGCTTTACTCCTGATTGTCTAATTTTTAGACAGTGTCACCACAGTTGTGGGGTTTTTTAAATATATATATTTTTACTTATAACTTATTGAGACCAGTCCCTCAGTTTCCATGTCATCAAACTCCTCCATGATTTAAAGAGTCTAATAGTTAATTGTTTGAAATCTAAAAACCTGAAAGTTCTTTTCTCTCCAGTGAAACCAAATGAATTAGTGCTCACCATCTATTAGGGTTGGAATATCTAGTCCATGAATGCCATTTTGAACCACATAAGCTGACTTCAAACAAGTGGAGATGGCTGGTTGAAAAGTGCTACTATCCAAGGGAAATATCGATAGGTAAAAAGCTGGCCACGTGCAGATCTGCTAGACTGGAGCACAAGGATTTAATGCATTTAAATCAGTCTGGTTACCATATTTGACCTGCTGTGCCAATGTCAACCGTATTACTGCTTCTTTCAGAGGGAATGTACAAGCCATATGAGCAAGATGGGGTCTAATCAGAACCTCTGCAAGTAAGGAAAAAGACCTGTTGACTCAAAGTACATACCTGCATTTCCAGGGAGTGTCCCCAGCTGTCCAAGCTGTCCCCAGCTGTCCTACAGTTAGTAGGTGACTGAAGGCAATCCATAGTTGAAATTAAGTATAGTTGAAGTAATTCTGAAAGAAATTGCCCAGGTGGTTCACCACAGCAAGAGCTGAAAATAGCAATAAGCTAGTTCTTCACAATTCTCTTTTCAGCTGCATGAAGATACCCTTGTTATAGCAATATGAAAATTTCTTTTGTTTCTCATCTTATTTACTACAGTAAGCAAACTGGGGGGAGGGAGGGTAAAGCTGCAACCCAAACATAGGATACTGGGATTAAATATTGGGCATTTTCAGCCACTTGTTTTCATAACAGGCCAAAAACAACACATTTACCTTCTTTTCAGAAAAAAATTGATGCAAATCATACCTAAAACTTAGCCAGCAAGATAAAAAATTAATGGAATCAGGTTCTTTACTCTTCTTTGTGAACATGTTAGGAGTTTGGGAGTGGCTTTCCTAGAAGGGGTTGGACCACATGACCTTTGATGACCTTTCCAAACCTATGTTTTACAAGTGAAAAGGCAGCAAAAGTGTGAAAACACTCCAGACAGGCTTTCTCAGTACAATGGTCCTTCTATCCTAAAACCTACTGGAGCTATGGAACAGAAAGACACACTAAAAATGGTCAGGTTGGTGTCATTCACTGTTTTCAGATTAAGAGCACAAGGTAGTGACATACAAGATTTGATCAATCAATCATAGCACTGAACATTTTCCAGAAACTTAATGCAAAATGTGTAAAATATAACAGCATGAGGGCCCCATCATCTATCTTATTGAGGTTTGGCCCAAGGAACATAAGCCCACCAACCAGTTTCTCCTATCACGATAAGGTACTACATGCTGAAAGAGACCGTGGCTGTGGACTGCATCTGTCCAATCCAATTAGTAAAACACCTCAACAAAAGCTATATTCCATTTCTGATATCACCTTTTGAAAAAAAAGAAGTGAAAGGAAAAGACAGGAAGAACCAACCAGAGAATACTAGACTTAAAAACCACAATAAAACTATACTCATTGTAGTCTGAATGCTGCAGGGATGGAGTAATCTTCATGAATTTCTATACTAAGAGGTTCTTTCATCATAAAAGTGGCAAAAAAGTGACAGATATTCAGACAAACATGAACTTGGTCTTCATTTTTTTGCCACTATAGTTGTGTAACCATTTATTATTTTTTGGCTTACGATGTCCTACAAGAGCAAAACTGTGAACTTAGTGGTTTTCAGGGCAATGAAAGTCTGGGCCATCTTATACTGTAGTTCTGGTTATATTTCAAAAGAGATAGTTTTATTTATGTTTGACTGTTGCAGGCAAAACTAAAGGTTGGATGTTCTGGCTTATAGTATAAACACATCTGGCAGACCTCTATTTTGGGTGCACAATGGAAAACAGGCTGTGTTGTAGTCCTAGAACATTTCTGAGTGAATCAGAGGGCAATCCTACTAGAGCTGAATTATTTGGGAAGACAAGGAGTGGAGGTGTTTTATTTTTTAATTCTGCGGAGTTTTATGTACACCATTCACTCCAAATATTTGATGTTTGCCACACTTGTTATGAGCTTCTCCAGAGAGATGCTGTCTTTTGGCAGCAAAAGATAAAGCTGACTGATACAAATGAGTCACAGTACCCCAACTGTAATTAACAATGATGCAATACCCATGCGAAAAAGAGAACTTGAAGAATTAACTGTTGAGTTTTCTTGAGGATGCAGCTGCAGTTTGAGAAAGAAACATTAACTCATCATAGCAAAGAGTTTTGCTGTGTTGCAGTACATTAGAGAACAATCATCTGGCAAGATATATCATCTATTTTTCCTTGAAGAGATACAAAAATGTTAAAAGGTCACAATCTGAGTCTGAGGATTGCAAATCAGGCCATATTTATTTACAAAATATAAATCAAGCAGGATGACCAAAACCAGAAGGTTTTTTTATCTTCCTTTTCACACTTCACCATCTAGAATAGAATGAGTACTTCTCAACCTGCTGAGCTGACTTAGTCCACCCCAGCTGTAAATCAAGTTTTACTTGGTATCCAAGCTATGGCCTCTTAATCTAAAATGTCTCCATGTTCACTATTACTGTGTCATTCTGTAGAAAGCTGGTATTTCCTTTTTTAGCATTTTTTCTTACAGAAGTATTTCATTTAGTTATAACTTACAAGTTGTGAGTGAAAACTTTACAGTCTGGTAAAAGAAAAAGCTTGAAGCAACTGGTTTATAACACAATATGAAACATGACACTGTTTTCTGTTGTCAGTACAATTCCCCAGTGAGGTGGATAAATTGTGGTCAAGACCTGGACAGGTTAACTAGTGGTCATCAGTGCTGGTGGTACCTTTATATACAGAAACCCCTGGATACTATTGGACAAGGCATTTGAAATGTAATACCAGCCATGAAACAAGACATCTGCTGGATTCTCATTTGTTTCTCTTTGAATGGGCTTTAATTGAAAGCTCAGTGAAAAATGCAGGTTACATTCTTAGTGTTATCAATGGTTTGTAACAGCAACAACATCAGAACAGTGATGCATCTAATATTTATACACTTTCTAATGTAGATGTCTAAGGAGCAATACATTATCAGATATATATATATTTATATATATATATATATATATACACACAATTTCAAGCAATTAATAGTAAATAATAAACCCCTCCTCCCAAAACCCTGAAACAATATATTTCCTCACACTAATAATGTCTTTTTTCACATATACTTGACAAAGAGTCTTTTTAAGTTACTTATCTTAAGAGTAATCTGTTAATGGAGATCCTGGACCAGCCCCATTTAAAGTTCGGTTTTAAGTTTATACAGCTTGCTAGCCACATAACCAGTGTGGCTTTACATTGTAAACAAATCCCAAATGTCTACAATGATTGAATTAGTCTTGTATGGAAGGAGATCTTTGCTTCTCATGGTGGAATAAATTTAAACCAGTACAAAAAGGGTATTTGACACAGATAATACAGTTTCTGAGGGTCAATGACAAAGTTAAAAGCAAGTTAACTTAATTGTAAGATTCTCATTTTTCTGTACAGAAAGGTACAGGTTAATCTGGCATTAGCTGCGCTAGAAACATATTTTTTTTTTAAAGTTGATTGTGAAAGTCAAAGTAGAGTTTACCTCTTAAAAGCCTGCCTTTAGACAGCACAAGTATAAAGTTTATTTAAAATGTCTCAGGTATTTTTCCTCATTTGTGTCTTCTTCTTTTTCTTCTTGTTTGGTTTTTTATTTGTTTGTTTTTGGGGGGTTGTACATAGTTGTATTAATATTTAGAAACCTCAGCGTATGTACGAATGCAGCAAGCACAAAGCTTGTCTTTGACATACCCAACACACAGTATTACTGAAAAAAGGCACAGTACTTTGCACCTGAAATGTTCAAGTAAAAATAAAAACAGAACTTTTTGGAGGGAAAAAAATACAAAAGTAACAATAGTTTATATTAATATTTAAACTGTAACAGTTTTGGTAATTCCATAACAAAGTTACAAATTAAAACCACTTAACATTATTGAATAGGACGTTTTTAAAAATCCATAGGTCAGAAAACTGAACAGAATCCTACGGTTTAGCTAACTTGTCTCAAATGTGTAATGAAGATAGCTGTAGCTTTCCTAGAGATGTGATCAAGGATGATTGAAAACTCTGCAGTAGTTCGTAAAGTCCCATTTATTTATTCATTTGTTTGAACTGTCTAAAGGGCCAACTGCAGTTTAGTCATGTTCCTCTGGTGCATGTTGTGATGACGAACTAATTCATCAGATCTGGCAAATTTTTTTTGACAGCTGGGCCATCGACAGCTGAATGGTTTTTCACCTGTTAATAAAACAACCCATAATTATACTAGCACAGATATGGACTGAAGTACAACGACATATTTCCTTTACTTCTAGATTTCTTAAAAATTACAACCCCTTCTATAATTCCTGAATGTAGCATTTGCAACTGAGCTCTCTCTGGGTGCTATCACTGCTAAAGTCCCCCAGTTTAAAACTAGTTTAGCTATGTCCACACAAACTTCAGTCAGACCTCTGGCTGCACTGTAGATATGCCCTTAGTCACTTTACACACCAGTGGTTATGTAGGCCTTAATCCATTGCCCACTGGAATAATCCATTCCAGTGCCACTGGAAATCAATAAGTCTATAGAGCTTTGTCTCATGCTTGGTGAGCCAAAGCAAAAAAAATTCAATTGTTGTTCAAGTTAAATGGATCTTACATGTTCCACTTAGGGGAAAATGGGGAGTTTTGGAGCCCCAAGATGTTCATTATTTTCTAACATTCCCCAGACTAGATTAGTAATAAAAAACAAACAGAGCATAAATAGAAAAAAATGATCTTTTTGCACATTTGTCAATATTTAGATGTGTCCCAGAATGTAAGTGCTGGAACAGACTGTGCTTCTGGCAACTGAGGGGCATAAGGTGGAATGTCCTCACCGGCTCAGAACACAGCGTATGTTAGAACAGACTCTGACACTTGGGGCACCTATACATGTACATTGAGGCTGCTCTGATACGCTATAATTACAGCCTATCAGAGCAGACTCAATTAATCGAGTCTGCTGGAGGGTGGTAATTCCTACGCCCCAGCAGACTCCAGCCTCCCCACACTGAAAATGGCAGCAGGGGAGCTTTAACTAAAGTTCATTGAATAAGCTTTAGTTAAAGCGCCCCTACTGCCATTTTTCAGCATGGGGATGCTGATACATGTGACAGTCCAGGACTAGGGACAGACATTACACATAAACCGGTTTAAGTAATCAGAAACTAGATTAAATCTGTAACAGAACAGATGTTCAGTCACATAAATCAGTTGAAAATGGCTGAAACTGGTTTGAGATAAATCTGGATGAATATAGTGTCACATTTAACTGATTTGGCTCAAACTGGTTTATGCAATGTCTGTCCCAGACCCCTTTCTGATTTAAGGTAAACCAAACATCCCTAGTATCCTGGCATGCTCTGTGGGCTGGGTGGTGCTCTCTGCTCCACAGCACGGCTCACCCCTCCCCTCTGCTCCCTGCCTGCAGCACAGCAGAGACTTGCAGGCACAACAGCATTTGCCTGGCTTCTCCCTGCTAAGCATGAATTATTCCCCCCTCCGCTCTGCCTTATGCAGAAACCTCAGAATTAGCTAGCAGACCACATGCTGGCTACAGTCCATGTTGTGGGAGATGACTAAGGCAGACAGGCTTTTTGAAGCTAATCAACAGGTAGCTTAATGTTCTTCCTTAGAAAAGCTGTTTAAGAAGAGCTGTTTGCTCTCCCCCTCCCCCTCACCACTCCCTGCTAAGCAGGAATTCCCCCCTCCCCTCTGCCTTGCAGACAGGTGTCTGTGTATTAGCTAGCAGACCACATCCTGGCTACAGTCTGTGCTGAATCAACAGGTAAAATCGACAGGTAGCTGGTAATGTCCCTATGTTGTTTTCTTAATGGGGTGAGAAACACTGAGTTAGGGGGTGAGAAACACTGTTATCAATTCCCTACTGAGCTAAGCAAAGTGTCCTGCCTGGACCTGGCCACATTCCCCACCCTTCAGTGCTTCAGCAAGGGAAGAGAGGGCTGCTCTAGTGCCCCCTAGCTTCTAGCCTGAGCCACTGCAGGCATGTGCCTGCATGTCTGGGATGTCTATGCAGTTAAAAAGGTGATTTAACCTAGCCAGGTTAAACTAACCTGCAAAGATTGAATCAATTCAGGTTCAGACTGTTTGAATGTCCTGGTGCTTTAATTAGAGGGGCTTTTGGAGCTGCTCTAATTAAATCACCCCTCCCCTCCGCTGCCGCCCAGACCACATGTATAAACGTCCTTGGTTTTTCTTCTAGATTTGTATCCTGAGACTTTTAATGTAGATTTTGTATTCATTTTATTTTTTTTAAACAGGGTTTAATCTGGAGCCTGGATTCATGTGTGCTGGTTCCAGGTCCACGTTCAATACACAACAGGGTTGGAATGAACTTTTCAAACTATCACTATCTCCCCTATATTGCTCACCTGCTCTGCCACACATTGTGGTAATCTCATTGCACAACTGTTATATCCAAGCTCAGGGGAGTTGGGACTTTGTTTTCATGGAATTATTTTTTGCAAAATGTTGAGCAATAAAGAGATACATAAAGGTATTTTAAAAACAGTCTTGTTGTCTTAACTAAATGATTTTAAAGCTCTGATTATTTTACAAGTAGATAAAAAAGTCTGGGATAATGCTGAGAAATCATAAAATTTTAGGAGTGGGTTTATGCTGTCTCTTTTCAGTAATACTGATTGATGTAAACTGCCCATTATAGGTGAAATTGTGAGTTTGCTGCTATCCCCAAATTAAGGCACCAGGGAGTTGTGCTGCACCTAAAACAAATCTGGTTTTCTGCTTGATACATGGAGTAGCAACTGTGCTATATTGGGTGCAAGTTACTTTCTCTTTACAGTAGGTAAGTTGCCCAAATACCATGAAGACAGTATCAATGCACTTTGCCTGTTTGACCACTTTGGAGAAAGACTAACAGCCCTAGTGTGACCCATATCTCATGCAGGGGATTAAAAGCCCAAACCCTTACTCTCTAGTGCAGATGTCACAGAATATGTCTTCCCTGCCAGAAAGGTGTATGGTATTCTTTTTTTCAGTAAGCAGTTACCTCAAGTTAGCTATCCCACTGTAAAGTCTTCACGGAAGGAGGGCACTGTAATTTTTTATCTCAGTGTTGCTAGTCAGAAACGTAGCTGGTCCTCCTGCATCCCACCATGCTCTATGCCTCCACTTTCTTCTACTCTTTAATGTCCCATACCTCTCCCCTGCTCTCAGGTCACCCACACTCTCTCTGGTATGCTTACCTGAGACCAGAGCTCAGAGACAGATAAGCATGCTAGAAAGCTCATGTACAATAGAGTACCCCATTTTGAGACTCAGGAAATATTGTCATCCTATAGATGCTTCACCTCCACCGAGATTTTTACAACAAGCTAGCTATCTTGAGCTAATTTTCTAGCTATAAAACACTTCATTTTTGTTGGCAGTGAAGTCATTGCCACAGGGCAACCTGGGCCTGTGGGATGTTAAAAACTACCCTTCCCCTCCTCCCATCCTGGCCGGTGCCTAAGTCACATGATCCTCAGGGTATGGTAACATTGCAGTTAAAACTCTAACTTTAAACTAAGTAGTTCAGATACCAACAGCAACATGAAGTTCAGTATGGGCTCCAAAACCTGCCCAGAAACACAGGTATATATACTCAGGTGGTGAGCATGCACTGAGCCTTATTCTGCCAAGGCTGCATTGCTACTGGAACTTGTGCAGCCAGTTTAAAGCTAGCCCAGGTATGTCAATGCAGGCTCTAGTCAACCTTTGACTGTAATGTAGTCACTTGAACCAGGTACAGCCCAGAGCTTGCAGCTTTATCTGCAGTAGAAAAAGAAGATGACTTGTGAACCAGGGTTAGCTAACATGAGGTAAAATCCTAATGGGGGCAAGGAAGCTGTAGTTTTCACGTGGCTTAGCAGATCAAGTTAAAGATTAAGAGATATCAGAGCTTGCCTTGACTTATAGAAATCACAACCTGCTTTATCTTCAATAGACTATTATCACTGTTAGTTACCTTGAGTAAAGAATGGCCTTCTTTCATAGTACAGCCATCCCTGATTTCAGGCCCAGTCTGGCCTGTGACTGTATGTATACCCCAGGTTACAACTATACCCTTTACCATTTGCAGACAATGGATATTAAAAACTTCAGTATCTTAAGAATCTATGTGAATGGCACCTGGAAAGTGCCAGTATTCTGCAGGTGAATCTTTCTGCTTACTGTAAATTTGTATCTATTTTTTTTAAGTCTTAAATACACATATCTTGCAATAGGGACAAGAAAACATCATCGTCATCATCTTGGCTAGGAGAATACAACTAATTAAATGCCCTTATAGCAACATGGAGAAAGATTAAAAAGATATCCTACTATGAGTAGGACTAAGGTATCTAATAATATTGAACTCTAAAGGGGTAACTATTTTTTGCAAAATGTTCTGAATTCCAGAGGGGGCCCCCCGCACGCTCCCCGGCACACCCGCAAGTGCTTCTGGTCTACTTCCGGGTCTGCTGCTGAGTATGCTGGGGACCCCCTGTGCTCCTGTAGGATGCCCCATCCACCCCACCACTGCAGCATTCATGAGCTGCCTGGTACCTTGAGGTACGCAGAAAAAACATTTAAAGCTGTGTCTGTGTCCAAATCGCCAAATCGTTACAAAACTCTCCAAATCAATTTGGAGGGTTCTGATTAGATTCGTAGAGATTAAAGAGTCTCCTGATTCGATTTGGATTCGGAGATTCGGCCACCAAATAGGGCCAAATCTCCACTGAATTGAATTAGCAACTGAAGCTTTGCACAGACCTAGTATACATTAATCTCACCGTTATATTTCTTAATAAGTTCTTTGACACTTTTGGCAAGTATTTTGTTTTGTGTGTGCAAATTTTAGGTGCCTCTTATGAGTAGCATTCCTGGATTTGTGCAGAGGATTGAACCAGATAACCACTGAGGTCCCCTCTTCATCTTAAGGACAGATGACAATATAAACAGCACAGTGTAAGCATTACCAGGCTGCTTCACATTAGGCCTTAACACAAACCTGGAGGTGCCAGAGGATAATTTAGACTCTACCCCTCTGCTCAGGCTAGTACAAAAAGGCACCTTTGTAATCAATGACTGTAGTGCCAGTAGTTCACACAATCTAGATACTTGTGGACTAGACCCACAAAAGTATTTTGCACAAAGGCTAGCAAAATATATTTTGCCAAGTCAATGTTTCCTAAAATATGGAGTAACAAGTGGTGAAATTCTTAAAGACCTTAATGACTCAGGCCATGTCTCTACTTCTCACTTCCTCTGCCACCTAGAGCTGTGCTAAAACATGCTCTGCTGTTCCATGTGTGGTTTCTCCTGAACCGAAGCAGCATAGTCACATTCCCAGTAACAATGCTGCATGTAGCAGACATGGAGCTGCCTGGCACGGTACAGATATGCACTAAAGAGCCTATGTATCATTTTGAAATATGACTTCTGAGATTTAAGAGCCCAAATCTCAAAGTGAATGTAATGTAGGCTCCTAAATCACTTCAGTGGTATGTCTAAGTCATGTGTTTTTGAAAATTTCACAGATAGTTAAAAGACAATGTCTCAACATTTTAATTATAGTAAAATTGACTTAGCTTAAGTAAATAATGAAATATAAATGTGAAGAAAAGTTTACGCACTTGTTTTACCTGTATGAGTCCTGGTGTGAGTCTTCAGATGATCAGACCTAGAGAACTTTCTCTGACAGGTTTTACACTGGAAGGGTTTCACACCTAAACAGATAAAATAAGTCTATTCCCATATGCCAACACCTTTGAGAAGGGGTGGGGGAGATCAGTTATTTATGAATTTGCAAAACACTGGAATTTTTTTTAATAGTAACTGCTTCTTCCCAGCTACATGCCTACACATCTCAAAGGTCATTAATCAGGCTGCCACAAAACTTAAACTTTCATACCTTATCTTCCACTTAGACCAATTACCTGTAACACTTTCGGGTAGAAAATGCCTGCACTGCACATAGTTGAAGCAAGTAGTAACTTACCAAGAAAGAAGGAGAGGTCTGCTAGACAGAATTTTGGTTCTTGTGATTTGGTACTCTTTGGGCATGTCTACATGTGCATTAAAGCACTTTTCCTAATAACACATTAAATTTAGTACCTTCAATGTGAACTACTAAATAAATGCATGTTAGGCTGCCCTCATGCACAGTAACAAATGCACATGTTTTTTAAGTGATACTTAATGAGCAGTAACCTATTTTACTATGCATTATCAGAATCACATGGTTTTTTACCTGACGCTTTAATGCATATTAGTAAAGTAGGCTACTGTGCATGACAGCGCATGTATAATAGCATTCCTGGATTTGTGTTCTACCTAAATTTTTATGTATTTGGACTCACTACAGTAAAAACAGAGGTTTAGGTTTCTTTAATCCACTTGACAAGTTTTATTAAACAATATACATAGCACCTAAGGTTTTGCTCAATTTAGAGACCTACCAAGCAACTATCAAAAGTTTATTTAAAAAAAAAAAAGAAGTGAAGCCAAATAGGTAAGTTTTTAAAATGTCCTTCCACATCACAGAAAAACCCAATCATTGTTCATGTTGATTAACAGTTTGCAGAACCCAAAGAATTTTTTTTCAGGAAACTTGCTTTCATTGCTTGCTTTCATGTTTGAACCCAAGACAGTCCTATAATCTCAGGTTCAAGCAGGTCAAGTTCACAGAACTTTCACCATTTCCTCTTAAGGGTCAAGTAGCATTCGTTAGATAGGACAAACCCTTAGGTGGATTTCTTATGAAGAACATGGATAGTATTTGGAGAGTGGTAGATATACTGGAAGGTAGGGCTAGGACTCAGAGAGACCTCAACAAATTAAAGGATTGGACCAGAAGAAATCTCATAAGCTTCAATAAGGACAATTGCAAAGTTCTGCACTTAAGACGGAACAAATCCATGCACTGGTACAGGCTAGGGACCAACTGGGACCTGCAGGTTACAGTGGACAGTAAGCTGAGTATGAGCCTACAGTGTGCCCTTGTTGCCAAGAAGGCTAACGGCATGCTGGGATGCATTAGCAGAAGCACAGCAAGCAGACTGAGCAAAGTAATTATTCCATTCTATTCAGCACTGGTGAGATCACATCAGGGTGTCCAGTTGTGGGCCCCCCACTACAGAAAGGATGTAGACAAATTGAAAATAGTCCAGTAGA